ATTCCAAAAACGTTTAAACACGTCTTAAGCAGTTAAAGGGTTAATCGATCGGCAATGTCGCGACTCCACAGAGAAAGGGCAGGCAAGGCAATACCAGTACGGTCCCTGCCGAGCCTTACTCTGTCCTGAGAGCCCTCAGGTCTTCTGTGAAGTGTGTTATTATGCCCCCCGTGGTTGAAACTGCCTAGGTACAGATCCTAACTAGTACTTTCTAGGCGTTCGCCTTAGTCAATCCCCGGGGGAGGGCGGTTGAAGACGCCCCGAAAAGTCCATAAAAGAAGTTTCCTGGTGCTTTGCGCCTATTGTCGGAGATTTGTGAAGGACTTTTCTTCCATCGCAAGCTGAAAGAGAGCAAGCAAATGTTCTGTGGGCATAATAATGTAAGGACATATTTAATGAACTGAAGGAAGCTTTAGCATCTGCAACAAACCTGACGCATCCTTAGCTAGATGAACTATTCATTCTTGACACAGATACGAGCAATGAGACTGTCGGCGCTGTTTTCTTCCAGGAAAATAAATGGTCAAGAACTTGTCGTAGCATACTAGAGCAAGTGTCTGTCTAATCCAGAGAGGAATTAAGTGTTGTCAGAAAAGGGTTGCACGCAATAGTTAAAGCCATAGAACATTTCCATCATTATCTCTATGACAAAAAATTCCTGCTCCCCTAGATCATACATCATTGACCTGGCTTTTAAATTTCAAGAAACCTGAAGGCAAAATAGCCAGATGGATACAGAGACAGGAATATGACATGACTAATCCGTCAACGGAAAGGATCATTGCATGGAAACGCCGATGCCCTATCTAGAAGACCCTGCCCAGAAAACCCGATAAGGTCGGCTAAGTACGAGCTGCTTACCCCGGTCGCACAAGAAGTTACAACATCAACATCGGCTGATCGAGACCCATGGAGAGGCGAAGAAGTCAGAAAAAACCAGTTGGCATATGGCGACATTAAGCCCATAACTGATTTAATGGAAACTTCAAGCATGAAACTTACCTGGTGGAACATTTTGATGTATAGTCCTACAGCAAAAAAATATTGCGCTCTCTGGGATTCACTCCATATTCGAAACTGCGTTTTGTACTGGAAATTCAAATCGGATGATGGAAATGCGTCACGATGGCAGCTGATACTTCCGAGATCCCTGATGTCCTTGAAGAACTGCATAGGTATCCAATAGGATGCCATTTCAGAATAATGATGGACTTCAAGAGCGCTTCTACTGGATTAATGCAAGGGATGATGCGCAAAAGTGATGCCGAACATGCGATGCTTTGCGGTTGGAAAGAATCGAAGAAACGCAACCGAGGGAAGCTGCAGCATTACAATGTAGGAGCGCCTTTTGAACGTATCGCCTTCAACATCCTGTGATCTCTGCCAGAAACTGAAAATATACATTCTTGTCGTTGATTACTTCACCAAGTAGCCTGAAGCGTATCCTATTCCTCATTAAGAGGCTGTCACGGTAGCAGTGGTAAAGCATTGGATTTCCAACTTCAAAGTGCCCCTTCAGTTACATTCCTATCAAGGAAGAAATTTTACCTTGGCCGTAATTAAAGAACTCTGAAAACTACTCGGCATCGACAAAACCTAAATTACATCTTTACATCTCCAGCTAGAAGGCATGATGGAGATGTTTAATGGAACCATTCTTAATAACCTCTTACTGATGGTTTCCAGAAACCAGCATGACTGGGACAAGAAGTTATCTCTGTTCCTGTTGGCCTATAGCAGTGCTGTCCACGAGGCTATCCGATATTTCCCATCCCAGATGCTTCATGGGTAGTAACCTTCCTTTCTTGTGATCTCTTGTTTTGTTGCCCTCTGCACCTTCGTAGCCTGAGGAGTACATTCAAGATCTCCAAGCACAGTTTGAAGTGATTCAAAATTTTAGACGACAGCGAGTCAACTTGTCGACAGAGAAGATGAAGACCCGTTAGGGCACATGTGCTACAGGACATAGATTCAACGAAGGTGACAAGGTGTGGTTATGGTATGGAATCTGATTCGGTGAAAAAGACTCTTTTTCTAATTTAGAGTCACCTTTGGACGGTGTTTCAAAGTCCTAAACAGGCTGAACGACGTCTTAGTAGTTTGGATCGGTAAGTCATCATATCCTAAGTTTAAAGTAGTTCATTACGATTGCGTAGCCCCCTTACTATGGCTAATAGTACATAATCCCCATAGGGTAATGTAAACAGTGCACGAAGACCATAGTCAGATGCGTATATATTTCATTTATTTATTAGCATTTTTTATTGTCATTACTTTATAAATTTTTTCATTTATTTATTGGTTTAACATTTGATTTTTTGTGTCATTTATTGCAATTAATGTTTAAGTAGTGCATTGATTTGCCCTAGTTGTACGTATGGCTTCCAGTTCAGTGATTGCACTGCTCGGGACGTGCAGCCCTTGGTAGGGTTACGAATTTTGTACATAGATAGATAATTTTACTGAAATTATACGTGAAATTGTATTTTTTGGTATAATGTAATGGGTATCTTGGTAATTTGGCGAGATACTTCCAAGCTGGTTAGTTTTTATCACGAAATTTGGTTAAAAATTACCAAAAGTCGCAAAACTTGGTACGGCCCCCGTATCACCATAATAATTACGTATATTTTAATTGAATACCCGTAATTAACTTTATGTGCAGCGTTAGCCGTATCCGACCGTCATATACTTTCGAGTAATTTCGAGAGGTACTAGAACTATCTCAGCGGCCGGTTGAAAATTGTATAAGACCGGTTGTGTTGTGTGTTGTTAGTTTAGGGTGAGTTCGGAGTACTGAGATATCTCCGGGTTAGCTTCATTCTTTAGATACGCTTTGAATTGCGTTGTGTTTAACGTTCTTAGTACTTTGAAGTGTTAACTACTGATTGTACAGGGTGCGGCAGCGTTTATAGTAGGATATTAAAAACACACCATAAGGCAGTAACTGTAATTTATTTATTAATTAATAGTTAAACGTATACCATTTACTAATGTGTAAGTCATTGTCCATTGCGCGGATTACTTTTTGAATATGATGCCTGTCAAATGATGCCCTCTCTCCACAACACATTCATCTAGGCGGTGTTGGAAGCTTGCCATAACTCGGCGTAACGTATTCCCTGGGACATTGCCGACAGCAGTTCTGATGTGATCCTTCAACTCAGGAATGGTGGCACAACGTGTTCGGAAAACTTCTTGCTTCAGGTGGCCCAAAAGAAAAAGTCTGCACATGAAAGATCAAGTGAGCGGGCGGCCGGCCAGGAAATGTCACCAAAATGGGAAATTACTCTACCTGGAAATGTCTGTCGCAATGGTCCGTCCATCTGGAACTTTCCATAATGTCCGAAGTTGAAATGTTGCCGAAATAGACGCTGGGTAGCAGAACAGAGTAGTTATTTTTTAAAAATCTTTCAACAGCAAAGACACGATGCTGTGCTCTCCACCGATCCATATCACTGTCACACACGAAATGGCAGCTAATTAATACACGAATGCGGCACGAGCTGGCGCGCATTCATGCAGTACGTCATTGTGCTACGCAAGTCAAATTACGCTATGAACGCTGCCGCACCCTGTACATCGTAGCGACTTCCGTACTCAGTCTTCTTCAAAGAATCGTCTACTGTACTTTCAGAATATTTAGAGTGATAGTTCATGAACTGTATAACATGAATTTTCAGAAATAGCTTCTTCTAATCGGTCTTTGTTTACAGAAGGTGGTTGTACAGAGGGGGTACCATGTTCGGGGCTGAAATTTTCGCTCTTAAACTCCTCAAACTGCCTTCGCACTATCTCATCCGAAACCGCAGTTTGTCCATTTATGGCACAAATTTTACGAGCAGTCTCTCACTAGCATTTTTTCTTTTTTAAAATAAAAGAGCATAATATGATGAAAATGAACTTTGGGGTAATCTTAAGGTGCTAAAAATGCTGGATGAGGATCTAATTACTAGAAATTGCAAGTAATATACCACCAAATTCAGAGCATGTATTTGCATGATTAATTGAAATCATGTAATTATCCACATCAATTATCTACATTGCTGCTAAGACTTTTTAAATTCTTGTTATACTTGTATACTGTAATTTCTTTCATTCGTTTAAAAATGTTTTAAATATCTAGAAAGTTTTCCAATATATTTATTTAAAAATTTATATATAAGCTGAATTGCACGATTCAAGAGTAAATTGTATCGAATTCTTTGTTCTTCATATTCAGTATTTTTGATATTTTAATGCTATTTAACATTACGATGTTTTAACATTAGTCGAAGAAAATTTTGTGGTAACTTACTATCAGATCAGAAATAATGGATTAATAAATTTATGAATTTATATTTTATCTTTATGTACATGGATAGCAGCTATAAGCTTAATTTCTGTCTATCTTTTACAGGTATAATAATTCTCACATATATGCTAGGAACACCGTAGAGCGGCAATACGGAGTATGGAAGAGGCGTTTTTCCTGCATTGGGTCAGGCCTCCGATGTAAAGTGGAAAATGCCGTGACCATAATAGTAGCAACAGCTGTGCTACACAATATAGTTCTGCAAATGAATGATTTTTTTGAGGAAGATGATGATACAGAAGATGAAAATACAAATCCCGTATTTCAAGAACGAAATGTGGCAGGCATTTGCAAAACGCAATGCAATTGTCAGAGAGTATTTCACATAATAATGTAAAAAGATTTTTTAAAAAAATAATGCTATTAAATAAATTTTTACATTATATTATAAATCTGTGTTTATGTAACTATTTTATTAATCTTTAATACCATGATACAGTAATACAAAAAGGGTTAAAAGTTCAACATTTAGTATATTTCATGTTTTATTTTTAATCTGATGCTCATAGTGAAGAAATACCTAGTTTCTGACAGATTAAATGAGCACATAGTGAATAGCAATACTGTAACAAACATATCTGCTATGAGTTTATAAAAACTGAGTTTTGAAATATTTTTAAGGAGAATAATGATAATTTCAGTAATTCTAGGTATAGTTAGTAGACAATAAAATATTATTGGTGCATTGCTATTAGGTGAATTGTGGATTAAGAAATGAAATTATGTGAAACAGATACTTAAGATCATAAAAATGTAAAATATTTATTCGCCTATGTTCTGTTAATTTTAAGTTTGCAAACTTTATTAAACAGGTACTTAAAATTATTAGAAATATAAAATGCAATATACTTTACAAAATTATAACGTGGTAATTCCTCAGATACAGATTTCAACTGAAATTAATTTTTTTAGGATCATTCTGTATGACAGCAAGTATATTTCTTTTAATTTCTAAGTCTCTCTTTAAAATTTCCATTTTTAAAGTCATGATCTTCTTTTTTCATGTCATGTTCTTCTTTTTTGTATTTCATTGTTAATTCATGTTCTTCTTTTCTGTATTTCATTGTTGATTCATGTTCTTCTTTTTTTAATTTCATTGTTAATTCATGTTCCTCTGAGAGAAATTTCGATTTTAGTTCTGAATGTTCTACCAGAGCAGCTGCAGCTGCATTAGATGCTGGAGGCTGTCTTTTGGCTTTCCTCAGTAGTTTAGGTGTAGGCATAATTTTTGATGATTTATCAGCCTTCGTTTCTACCATTGGTGAATACATTTTGCCTTTTTGACTTCCTGATGCCTGTGAAGGGAGAATCAGTAGCCTTGACTTGTGTTACAAAATCTAAGTTTGGCCCTTGCTGTTCATGTCTGATTTCATTCATTTCTTTAGATCCATTTCCCAAGTTAGCCTGTCACATAAAATATTACACAGTAAGTAAAAAATACAAATACAGTAAAAAAATATGAAATAATTATTATTGGTACTCTTAATTATCGGAACCGGATTCGAAAATGTATGCATATATGTATGGATGTATGTGTATGCATGAACATATTATATACACATACATGCGTACATATTTTCTTGAATCTGGTCCTGATAACAGAAGAATATCTTATTATCTATAGAAAGTGCAGATTATAATCAAAACATTACATTCCACGCCTTTCGATTGCCACATGCAAGAAACAAAACTAAAAATAATAATAATAATAATAATAATAATAATAATTAACTGACCAGGAAGACATTAACTAAATAAAATTAAATGGAAACATTCATAAATTATAAACTTCACGTCACGTGAAATCCAACATTCTCCCACCAACAACAGCTTAACCACCTGCAAATATTAAACAGTAAAACTTTTAAAAACAAATACAGTATTTCAAAATTAAATTTAAAAAAAAAAAACTTCTGGCTATGCTAAACTCGCACTCATTACAAGCACCGAAATAAAGCTTTAATAGGCTTGCCACAGGAATACATATAGCCAGAAACCACAACCAAATCAAAATCGTGCCAAGTTTGGCGCTCACCCCGATTATGGAAGATTAACCAAAATTCTAAAACAAGAAATAAAAAAAGATCATAATGTCTTTAAGTAAGTCATGTTATGGTATATGTTCAGGCTAAGTCCAGGATTTTGCTGTAGGCAATGAAAAATGCAGTATGTAGTCGAATGCATGCTAAAATACAAAAATTTCCGGCTAAAGTGCAGAAACGCCCACTTTGGCGCTTTTTACAAGAGTAAGAAGAATTGGATTTTTGTCAATTTTCTTTGACTTTTTAAGTGAAAATAGGTCGATGTGTAAATGGATAAAGTCAAGGCAGTGCACAATGCCATTTTTGTGCAATTCTGGGATTTTTTTTTAAGTGAAAATAGGTCGATGTGTACATGGATACCGAGTGTGTGCAATTCTTAAAAATGCGCCAAGCAGTGGGCGATTCTGCACTTTCACCAAATTTCCGTAGAAGTAATTATAATCTGCAGTCACACTGCCAAAAATGTATGGAGAAATAAAAAGCCATCTGGGGGAGGGTAACTAGCTTGGAACATAAGTACTTTTTGGCAACATGGTGCTTTCCCTCATCAATACGTTTTCTTGCCTTTTCAATGTGAATTACAGTTAATAAGAAAGTACAAAATTTTTAGTATAAAATAAAAGTATTAAATTAATTTAGAGTATGACTTTTAACTTTCTATCATTGAAAAATGAGCTAAAATAATAAAACTTACTCTTTTTAAATCATCTGCATCTATTTCACAGTTTGAAATTGTGTACTCATCTGAAATATTAAAAAATATGCATGTTATATGTACATGATAGCATATCATTAATGCAATATAATGATTGAATAAAAACAAAATTTTAGAAAGAAAATTTTAATGAATTTATTAATATATGAATTATAGTACTGCTTAGTTAGTTCTAGTTAAAAATTAAAAAAAAGTAAACAATTTTAAATCTTCAAAACTGAATAATAAGATGAAGTATTAGATTAATGTTACTATATATAAAATTTCTTTCTATTTAAACTTGAGTTTCTGGGATATCTTATAATTGCCTGCATTATTCAAAACCATTGTGAAGTGTTATTAAAAATGTATAGAAGCAACTAGTTTAAGAAAATAGAAATTTGAAATCTTCTAAGACACTACTAAGTCTTCATTTACTAGTATTATCCTTGAACAAAACGTTCATTGCAATGGGCGCCTGGACTGGAGTCCTATCCCAATCGATGTTATGTCACTTTTCGATCATTATTTCCATAAGGTGCGTGAAGGCATATCGTGATGAAAAGCAATAATTAAAGGCAATAGTCTTATGGAAAGAAGTAAAATCTTGAATTTACAATATGACATAATGTGAAATAAATCAGCCAAGCATTTTGATACACGTGACTTTAACATAACAACAAATTCTATTACAGAAACACAGAATTTTTAAAATTCAGTAAACTTTCAGATTTAAGTAACAGAGTGTATTAATAATTAATATGTTTTCATCTAATATTCTTGGAAAATATTGTGGAGTGACGGTATGGCTTGTGGAACGTTTCCTGTATTACTTCACTGGTCTTTTATGCAAGGTGGAAAATATCAAGACATTGGATGTGATAATCAGATTATCAATAAATAAATCTGACCTTATTATTGCATATAGCACAAAATTATATTGGCCAAAACAATATCATACAAACGTACTACTTGAAAATTGAATCCCTTGTATTTTACGAACACAATGTAACAGAATTCATTAAATAAAGTGAAAAAAGGGCTTATCTTTATATCCTAGGATTTTTGTTACATAAGAATTTTAATTTTTTAAGTTGCACTGTAATAAATCAAGAGTGGTCTAACATATTTACTGTAAGTAGATTTATATGCCACGTTATAAATGTGTTTTTACATCTGTCTAATTTTCAGTACATGGTACAGTGACAATTAACTCAGCAAACAAATGAAAGAGTTAAAACTGGTATATAGTATATCATCTCATACAAAATTGCATATTTGCTGTTTAAAACATGGTTAACAAAACCAAGTTATCTCATACAAAATTGCATATTTGCTGATTAAAATGTGGTTAACAAACAGCTCTAATATTTCTTTTTCCATTAAAAACTTTTGATGTGTTAATTATTTTAGCGTAATAGATTTAGATTTTCTAGCTGAAGTGCTAAAATCATGAATTAAATTAAGCAACATATTTTTAACCTGCATACGGTGAATAAAAATATGAAAAAGCAATTACTTACCAGAATAGGAAGTTTGCATATGATATAAATGATCACTATCATACACATTCTCCAGTGGACGTGTTATTGCACCCATGGCAAATAATGTTTCGTCAATATTATCATTTTCATTCGTTACAGCAGGGCCGCCTCCAGTTCGAAAAAGTTCTATCCTCTCTTCTGCTTTCCGTTTCGTGGCTTTTCTTTTCAAATTTCTATAGCAATTATACAATTGTGTTGCAGTACGTACGGTAACTTCCGGAATGCTATTAAATTCTTTTTCGATCAAATCCCACGTATTTTTTTTTTTTTCTTTGTTAGTTACTGAATTAGTAACTTTATTTTCAATTATATGGCGGTATTTTAAAACACATTCTGCTAAAACCGCTTTCTCGAGCGAAGTATAGTTTTGCCTATTTGCATCAGCCATGTTTGTTTATAAAAATACAACGTACCGTCAGAATTCAGCTTTGAAAACTGCAGATTATGCCGTAAATGTCACATGAATACTTTCAACCAATGACAACGCTTCTTACAAATAATCCATGTATCTCTCTTGAATCACGTAATTCAGTAATGGAGAATACCAAATGTGCTAACCATAGCTCAGACTGTGAGTTACCGCTGATACACGGATTCCGTGATACATGAATTAACCAGCTGTTGGTGAATACGGGGCTAAGAGTTTTAAGTAATTTTTGTTTTGTTTCTTCAATATTAAAATCAGATGGAAAACCACAAAAGTTACGCAATCTAGCTCTATTTTTTCGATCACCCAAAGTTCCAAACACAATTTGACGTAAAAGTTTAGTAGGCCCAGTCTTTAAAGAATTTGAATTTCTAGGAATAGAATTTAAGGTAGTCATCTTAATTCACAGTATCGTAAAATACTATTCATAGAAGTAACAATGTGGAAATAATCGAAACAAAACTTACTTCTCTTCTTTTGTAATATTCATCATGCTTCTTCCTAGGCTTTCGTTTCAGATGAATCCGTGCTGCGCCATCACCTGGATACAAACACCCCCCTTCTAGAAAGAGCTTCTGGGAAGATGTGTTTCTTTCCACTTTTTGACGTCTCACAGAATAGAAATAATCCCTCAGTTTATGGGAAAATGTTTCCCATTTGAAAAAGGTAGGGTCCCTAGTTTGGATTTCATCAGCAATCGTTTATCAGGTTCTAGCGAAATTTTTATCACCCATCTATTTATTAGAATTTCCCATCAGTGGTTTGGATGGATCAGGATTTCAACATAGTTCAAGAACATTCTTCAATATTTGAAAGGAGGTGCCATGATATTGAAAGACATCTTCAAATTTTTTTTTTCTCCCATGATACAATCCGTCTATCCCACACCTTTTTCAGAAGTGAAGTCAAAGAGATGTTTCATACCAGATTTTCAATTTTCACCTCAAACCATACCGTTGACGTGTGAGAGACAGACCATGACATCCATTTCAGTTTCCACGACAGACAACACTCTTGAGGTTTGAAAAGGTATGAAAGACATGCCACGCGAGTCAGGGATTTTTTTGAACGTGATTAAGAATAGCTTTCCAGCTAAATTTCAAAATGAACAACATTTTTCCCGGTCAATGAGACGACTCGAGAATGAACTTTACAGAATTGTTAAAAAATCAATAAAAACATCTACAAAATAGAATGAGCCAAAGCTAGTTCATTTTTCTAATAAAATATTTTTTTCTAAACTTCTGAAAGAAGACATGGCTTACCTGTTGTCCATTGGATGTCCCTCCTTCAACCTTCCTCAAATCGTCACGTTATTTTTTTCAAACTGCATTGTTAAAGGTTAGAGAGAATGAAACGCTTTGGATAGCCTTCATACAAACCAATCGGGATGGTTGAAGATTCATTTCATCCTGTTGGTCTTTGAGAAACAACACGCAGAAATAGAAATCAGAACCCACGATTATCTTTCACGCAATTCTGTAAGTGAAGCTGGGTGCCCTTGATGTTGTAAGCCCACTCATCTTGTGATATTTGTAAGTAGGTAAAAAGCGAAGAACGATTCCCGTTACGTCCCTTCCGACAATACCATTGCGGAGTGGTCTAATAGTTCCATGAGAAAAATATCCATTTCATCTTTTCAACGACACTATTGAGGAGTGGTCCAATAGTTCCATGAGAAAAAATATCCATTTCATCTTTTCAACAACATCGTTGAGGACACTTTTCCCTGGTTGTGGGATGGGGTAGAGATGCTGCATCTTCAACAATCCACACTGATCTGAACAGAAACGCGAAATGATTTTATAGATAAGAGTTGATTGAAAGTGAAAGTAAAAACCAAATCGTCTTGGCTGTCGAGTGGGAAAGAATTCTCAGAGATCAGAAAAAAAATTCTGAGTTGTAAAAAAAAAAAAAAAAAAAAAAAACTTTTTGTTAATTTTTATCATGTCTTTAGACATGATAAAAATTAACTACCTACCCTTTTTGTCTGGGATGATGTCTCCCCTTTTCTAAAAATAGATCATGACTCATCCTTTCTAAAAATAGAATTCCAAGAAAAACAATCAGCTACGGTCTATTTTTAGAAAGGGTGGGTCACCATTCCCAGACAAAAAGGGGGACATAGTTAATTTTTATAATGTCTAAAGACATTATAAAAATTAACACAAAGTTTTTTTTTTTAACAACTCAGAATTTTTTTTTTCTGAGCTCCGAAAATTTTTTCACAGTCGACAGCCAAAACGATTTGGTTTTTACTTTCACTTTCAATCAACTCTGATCTATAAAAACATTCCGCGTTTCTGTTCAGAACAGTGCGGGCTCTCGAAGATGCAACATGCTTTCTCTCTCTCTCTCTACCTCATCTAGACCCAGGATGTGCTTTTTCAAGAAAAGGAATTCTTTGGGAATGTTTCGCAATTTCTGAACTTTACACGAGCTGAATATTTCTTTTCATATTTCGAAGCAATTTTTCAAAGAAGTGTAAGATGTAATGAAAGGGACATTTTGACGAATAAGCTAAACTATTTTCTAGTCTCACGAAAGCTCATTCAACTCGAACCATTTCGTGCTCTTAGACTTCGATAGTTTGAGAACCACCCTTTTATTTTTCATCTCAAACCTTGATGGTGGAAGCAGCTATTTTGTTTCCCATCTAATGAAGACATTCTGAAGAGACCGTTGTGTTTTTTCTGTCTACGCGATCCAAGATGGGGCGCAGCGACTGTTTGTGTTTTTCTCTGCGCGCAAACCTGGATGGCTTGATCTGTCATTTTGTTTCCCATCTCACCCAGATAGGTCATGTTGTAAATTTTCCCTATACCTAGCTAAGATGGACAAGAACTACCCTTTTATTTTCGCATTGAACCAAGATGGATTGGGGAGACCATCGTGTTTTTTTCCTCTCTTCGCGAGCCAAGATGGGGTGTAGTGACCGTTTCTTTTTTGTTATCTGCTCTTCTTAAACCTTGATCGCTCGATCAGCCATCAGCCGTTTTGTGTCGCATCTCCCCCAGATAGGTCGTATTGTGTTTTTTCCCACACCTAGACAAATTTGACGCGAACCACCCTTTTATTTTCCCATCGAACTAAGATGGATGAATAAGACTATTGTGTTCTTTCTCTCTTCGCGAGCCAAGATGGGGCATAGCGACAGTTTTTTTTTTCTCTGAGCGCAAACCTGGATCACTTGAGTAGCCATTTTGTTTCTCAGCTCACTCAGATAGGTCGTGTTGTATTTTTTCATACACCTAGCCAAATTTGACGTGAGCCATCCTTTTGTTTTTCTATGGAAACAAAACGGATGAGTGAGACGATTTTGTTCTTTGCTCTTCGCGAACCGAGACGAGGGCGTAGCGACCGTTTGCGCTTTTTTTTCTCTGCGCGCAAACCTCGATCGCTTGAGCAGCCATTTTGTTTCCCAGCTCACTCAGATATAGCTCGTGTTGTGTTTTTTTTCCCGACACCTAGCCGAATTTGACATGAACCATCCTTTTGTTTTCCCATCCAACTGAGATGGACTCTTGAGACCCTTTTGTTTTTTCGCTCTTCGCCAAAAAAGACGGGGCGCAGCGACCGTTTGCGTTTTTCTCTGTGCGCAAACCTGAATCGCTTGAGCAGCCATGTTGTTTCCCAGCTCACCCAGATAGCTCGTGTTTTTTTCGACACCTACCCAAGATGGACGTGAGCCATCCTTTTGTGTTCTCATCGAACCAAGATTGACACGAGGCACCATTTTGTTTCTCAACGGTGTTCAAATTCTTTTGGGATCGACTGTACCATCCGTCCATAGCTTAGTTGGCAGAGCAGTGTAGTGTAGAGGTGTTGACACAGCTATCCATTTCATCTGGATGCTCTGCTGGAGCTCATAGCTTGTCAATCATTCAACACTAAATGTTAATCATTTCCATATTTCGTCGTAAGGTATAGCCATACGCAATTTCTACTAATTTGGATAACTTCTCAATGAGTCGATTTCTATGTTATAGGCTGTATGTATACCTGTATGTACATACGATAGATTTCAATTTATTTGCAATAGTACTTATTTGTCAGCTGATAACATTACGCTACTGCCTATTAAAATTGCAACATCATGAAGGCGACATGCAATAAATGTCAAATTTGCATGAACCCCAAGTACTGCATCCTGGATATAAGAACAATTAGCATTCCAGCGCATGCGCGCAAAGCATGTATGAGTAATACCATCTGCATTGCATATAAATGGGGAAAAAAAATTCAACAACGGGTTTTTCATTCAGAAATCGTTTTTAAGCTTTAGTTGCTCGGATTAAGATTATATTTCGCCCCCTATAGAAAGAAGAAACTCTTACTAGTACGCGTTGGAATTCGATCACGGCAAGATCGTGGACTCTTTGGACTACGACTCATTGTTCCGCGACATTTCTGCCCGTGTTGGTCGGGATCCCATGACTGTAAGGCGAATATGAGATCAATGGGTCCATATTGAACGCCGTGCAAAATCTCAGCGGCCTTGGGGCATTAAAACCAGAGGGAACATTGCGGGCAGTAAGATGACGTCTGCAACACTACGGACAGTCAGCACGGTGACCACTGTTGCTGCTTCCCATGACGCTACAACAGAAACAGGTGCACCTACAGTGGACGTCATCGACGACACTGGGCAGAGGACTGCACCATGTCGTGATTCAGACGAAACCCATTCTGCGTACAGCATGATACGAACACATTCGTGTGCGGAGGCACAGAGGAGAATGACGTTGCCAACTTGCATTCGTGAAAATCACATGAGCCCAGCACCTGTCGTGCTGGTATGAGGTGCCATTCCGCCTTAATCCTGGTTACGTCTTCTTCCCATAACCGATAATGTGGCAAACGTCTTTACATTTGATGTGTTAATGCCCGTGGCTGTGCCTTGTCTTCAGACCTGCGTGACGCCATCTTTCAACAAAATGATACACGACCTTATGTTGCCA